TCACGTAGTGGCTAGCTACGTCGGGATTCGTTTCAGCAAGTAGATATGCATATATTTAAAATGGACCTTGTTGGAGCATACGTAATCCTAAACTGCAGCATCGTACTACAGATGACGTTTACCGCGCCATTTGTGGTATTTTCTGCTACCAAAAATATTGAAATATGAAGATTGACGGTATCGAAATAGGTAAAGTAGGTAAGGACAGTGGAAGTATTAAACGAGACGGATTGAAACGAATGACATAAACAGAATGTAATTGCATTAAAGCGAAACAAACGTCGTAGTGTGAATAGATTCTCTTTTGCTCTTATTTAATTATTTATTTAATACGCTAGTTCAGGACATATGGTTCAGGTAGGTATGTCAGTTTTAATAACACTGCTAGGCATGTCCCTAGGATTGTGTATAAAAATGCTTCATTTAAAATGGAATGTTGACTTTCTTATCGTAATTATTACTGCTAGCTTTTTTTATAATTTCGGTGAGCGGGTAGGTAAACATTTTTTTCTACAAAAATTCGGCCGCTTTTACAAAAATAAAATTATGACGTTCTCTGCAGGTGGAAAGACACCTTTTTTATTCAAGGCTTTATCGTTTATTTATACAATTGTGCGAGTAGATATACTTTCATCTTTCTCTTATCTCATTGATAAAAATTTGAAAAAGTAACCAAGGCTGACTGGGAATACGTATTGTAATCACATCATCAACTAGATATGAATATTTTTCCACTAATTAATTTAAATACTTGTGCTGACGTATAAAAACCGATTTCAATACTTTGTCAATTTGCCATCCATGCGTAACATACACACAAAGAAACAAGCTGTGTGTTTTAAAAGTTTATCTGAAGAATGAAAAAAAAAAAATAAAAGGAGGAAACATTAGAAAAAAACAGGAGAACATACAGCATACAGCGTTATAGAAGTCAACAAGAAATAAGATACAATGAGCTAATTAGAGACATATTAGAAGCAGAAAAAGGAATTAAAGAGGGACAGTGGTAGACTTAGATTAGATCTGCAAATAGTTCGAGATGTAGGTTGTTTTAGTTTTAGAAGAATGAGAAGATTAAAATAATTCGAAGTGGTCTGTATTCTGTCGAAACTGCCAGACGCGGATCGCGATTTCGATCTTTTTGGATCTCATCAGCGCGTCGCAGACAGCTCCGACAGAACACAGACCATCTTTTCCCCGCTATCTTAACAGCGCGTTTTAGAAAATGCTACAAATGGCGCGGTAAACACCATCTGTAGTACGATGCTACATTTTAGGATTACGTATGCTCCAACAAGGTCCACTTAAATATATGGATATCTACTTGCTGAAACGAATCCCGGCGTAGCTAACCTCAACCTGATAGGCACGTTACCATAATCGAATAAATCGAGCTGTCTACGAGGCGCTGATGAGATCCAAAAAGATCGAAATCGCGATCCGCGTCTGGCAGTTTCGACAGAATACAGACCATTTCGAAGTATTTTATTCGATTACGGTAACGTGCCTATCACGTTGAGGTTAGCTACGCCGGGATTCGTTTCAGCAAGTAGATATCCATATATTTAAATGGATCTTGTTGGAGCATACGTAATCCTAAAATGTAGCATCGTACTACAGATGGTGTTTACCGCGCCATTTGTAGTATTTTCTATGAGAAGATTAGCTCAATAAAGGAAGAAATGGAGATATATGCCCAAGCAACAATAAATGCAAACCTTTAAGCATTATATACATATACATCTAACAGATTCTAATTCATCTATACGTCATTTACATTAGCATGTCCTATGACATCAGGATATCACAATGGAGTTCAAGCCGTTATCAAAATACCTCAACCTTTAGCTGTTTACATTCATTGCACTATTCATGCATTCACCTTAGCAGCACAGATCGTAGCCATAAGCAGTCCTTCAGTTTCACCCGCTTTTACTGCTGTCTACGACCTTGAAGGTTAAATATCTCGACGTAACAAATTCAAAACTATTTTGAAAGACGTAAAATTAAGTTCTAAAAACCGAAGCTTTTAATTATTTCTCCGTTATGACCCACACCGTTCATTTGGATTAAGAGGGTATTAATAAACGTGGTTTTTGATGGATTAGGGTGCCTACCATCAGTCAGGAGTGGCCAGACACCTTGGGACCCCTGTTGCAGCGTCAGTTTGCTTAGTATACTTATAACATTTTAAGTTTTTGTAATTTTCGTCTAATGGATTGCAGTTTAAAAGAGAAAATGCCGGTTGCAGGAAGCCTTCATGGTAATTTTGTTAATGTGAGATATAGAACAGTGTTAACGCAAAGGTTTATACATTACCAGCCTCGAAAGTTCTGTGAAGTGGTCGGATATTTCATTACACGAACATCTGTTTCGTTTCAAGTACTTTAATGTATGAGTCTATAAGATTTGATTTTGACCATCGCGCTTTTAATGTTCAGTCACCTAGTTTGACCGTTTCATTAGCAAGGTAACGCAATATCGTGTGTGGTTTTAGTTTACTATAATTATTTGAAGTGTGTGCTAAAATAATAGAAAAGTAGAATACATTCGATTCGACAACCTGTATAAGGAAAGCCTTTCTGCAAATGATGATTAATTAATCTACATTCTAATGACATCAGCATTGCATTACGAAGTTTGTTAACTATGCCAGTCAAAGTAATAAGCACAGAAAGGTCATTTTCTATAAATTAAACGACGAAAGTTTGATAAAAAGGCTAACATCTCCACGGCCGATGTTATCTGAAGAGTGCTGGATTTCGGATTTGACTTATTTATGTTTTGTGTAGTCGTAAGTACAAACCCAGTGATAGACATTACGTTCCCTGAGATTGCCAATTGCAGCTTTGACGAAACACCGGATAAACGACTCTATCGCCGTTTTCATCGAATCTTAAGCCCCTGATATTACAAGCTGTGTGGATTAACGTTTCTGTTTCTATACCTATAACTAACTCTTGATGTCTCGGAAGACGCCCTGCCATTCGATCTCCGCTGACTACCATACGTGCTCTGTTCACCTATTTTCTTCAATACCTCCTCACTTTCTTTTTGCGGTATATTTATCATCTGTCTTAACACCGCATCTGAAACAGTTCCATCTTTTTCCTTTTGGAAGCACCCACCACAAAATCTAACATATACAGACAAGTAAAAATGTTTACCGAACATAGAAGTTACACATTTATTTGTCGGTATTTTTTCTTTTTATGTCGCATGAGCGAAAATGCATAACTTGGTAAATATCTAACGAAAATATCTCTAAAAACCGTCTTAAACTAAGCGAAATCTTAAGATCTTTTGAACAATTCCTATATACACGTATTTTTCACAAGATGCGATGCCCATTGATGATTTTTTCAACGTCTATCTGATTTTACTTGCTTTTCTGAAGACTGTCCTGAACTAACCGAACTCTCGAAATCTTTTGAACAAAACGTAACTCCAGTCAAACGCTTTAAATTGTATTTACTGAACTTACGTTGTTACTTTATTAGGTATTTAAATGAAAAGATGATTGACGTTATTTTTACGAATTTCCCTATACATATACCCTATTTTTCAAACGATCATGGCGCCATTTAATGATTGTATGAAATAATTTTATTGCATCCTTCCGATTTAAGTTAACGTTGAGCTTTCACCGTTTGAAGAAAACGGATATCCGGATTCTAACTGTGTTTTCTTGATGAAATCCCCATGACGTATCATGGTGGCGTGAAAAGTGTTTAACGTTTCGTCACCTATCACAAGGAACATCTTCAGGAACTTCACGTTGTCGATGCAAGACAAGCAGTTGGGGATCTTTTCTTTTTAATTTTTAAAATAACATTTAATTTCACGATCAATACAAATCAATTACGAACGACAGGTAGAATATAGTGTTGTTGATGTTAACAATTTGATGGTGTACGTTTAATCCTTTGCATATATCAAGATAATGTGTTTGTTTTTCTTGCAATACAATTCTTTTTGTTCTCACTGCTTCCTTTTTACAATTGATGTTACACGTTTGATTGATTTTACAATTTAAGTACCTGCCTGCAAATCCTTTTAGATAAAATTCTTTTCAAAAGTAGATTAGGCACTACGATTGATGAAGACCATTAAATTGCACAAGAATATGTATTGCTAAATATAAATAATCTTTTTTATTTATGACGTAATTACAACGTTAATGTTGTATTTTTCAATATTGATTGAATATTTATTACTACATTCACAATTCACTTTACACGGTCATATAAAAACGTAATTTTAAAGATATATACATCTAATAATTATTATATTATCCTTTGCACGTCGTATTAAGAAATGCAATTAGTCTATACTTAAATGCATTTAATACGCACTTCTTAATTATGCAGTCGTAAGTTATGATATAATGTTAAAAGTGCACAGGTTCAGTATCACAAATGTACAAATCAATTTTGATTGTTTTTGTTCTATGAATTAGAAAATCTGAAATGTTTAACCTGCTGATGCGACATTTTTTATTCTATTTGCTGCAAAATTGTTGTAATAGCAAAACAAACAATAACTAGAGATACATTTAATCAACCTTCAGAGATTGTGAAAGCATACATGCTTTTTAAAGGAAATAAACTTCAAAAATAATTGGAAGAAGTTGTTGAAACTGAAATCAAAAACTAAAAAGTTGAGAAATTTTTTTGACACGTGTAATGGAATTTCATAACAGTGATAAAAAAAAAACAAAAATTAATCAACCTAATATCCGTAATTATAATACAATAATATTGTGCAGGATTGTTTACTAAAAGAAAAACAAAACGAACCCTTCCGGTGGGATTTGATGCCTATATCCTGTCCTGCTTTTCTACTTTGAAGAGCAAGCAGTATTAGGAAATATTTATTCAGTTTCACTTCAAACAAGCGAATTGAAACAATGTCTTTGTTTGCTTTGTTTTACATTCTTACTGTAAATTTGACGTTCTTTTGTGTTTTATCATTTTACGAAAATAAAACAAAATCTTTACCTAGTACATCGACTGCACTTTGATGATTGCTCACAATAACACAAGGGCTGTCATCACTCAAAAATTTCTTCCCTTTCAAGTTCCACTTGATGCCGAATACGGACGAAATATATCGACTGACGTATGATGCGACACTAAAAAACTTAAATTAACTAATTTCTTTTTTTTTTTTGTTTTTCTGGAATGCTACACTTACATTAAATTGTTCACATTGCAAGGAGATAAAGCGAAATAGGGCATCAAAATGATACTTGCCGTCGAGATATAAACGAAATAGAAAGCGAATTTGCACGCGTACCGGAAAAACTGACTCGATTTATAGAGAGCCAACAAAAGTAAGAAAAGTAAAAGGAACGAATCGAAACAGGACATTTTTGGATAGACGCGTAAAATTCAATTGGCTCACAGTTAGGCCTTTTTCTGCTTTTCAACTGGACAGCCGACGAGTAAATGTTTACTTTTTAATCAGCAGTATACTTTAAAAATCAATTGCTTACTTATCGCATTCATTCAAATATATAAAAGCATGTGAGTACTTGTACTTACACACAACAAACACACTTATTTAAAACTTAACTACAACAATAATGGTAGATGTAGATACTAGTTGTAAAACGTTCGGTAGATTACGTATAAGTATTTATAAATCAGCACAAAAAAAATATACATTGTAATTTTATTTAATTCACTCAATATTGGTAATGACAGGTAGGGTCCTATTATAGTTTATTACAAGTGCTAAATAAAAATACCTACACGTACTACATAAATATTATGTAGGTATAAGTTGTTTACATTCATTGCAGAAAAAGAAAACGGTTACCCTTAGAAATTTCCTGACCTTTGGCTGTCAATCGATATGGACAATAGTTATATATTATACGTGGTTTTGTTACCTTGTTTCTTCATACAAATAGAATCGATAATAAAGTATGCATGTACAGGAGCGGTTTTCCCATATAAGAGCTGCGGTGCTGCAGAGCACATAATTTTTCTACACATGTAGAAACACAGGCGGATGTGAGGTGACGTAAACGATGCAGTTTGTCGTGCCTCCGACTCGTGGGACCCCTCAGGTTGCCTTGGATTCCAGTTTTGTATTTATTGTAAAATTAGAACATTGCGGGTTATTTGAAAATTCATTTCTTTTTTTTAAGAATAGGTCCAGAATCACTGGATTCAAGCCAATTTTAATTTGTATGACATGAAAGCGCGGCAGGAAGTCCTACGGTGACATGTTTTTTTTAAGAAAATGTTTTTTTGGTAAAAGTCTAGATGAAGGGGGTGGGGGGTAGGGGGGATCGGAAAACGATGGTCACCTGAGTAAAACCCCATAAAAAATTTGCGGCGGTCTCACCCCCATAAAAAGTTATGGGGGTTGAAAGTTGCTTATTTTGACAATTTTCATGCACTATAATTCAAATAAAATTGAATAAAAAAACTACTTTTAAGCGGGTGGGAGATCGAAAGAGAATGGTCACTTGAACAAAACCCGATAACGTACCCTAACCCTATATGAATTATAAAAAGCAACTATCTATTGTAAATTTGTACGTAACTAACTATATAGATCTTATATAGAGAATATTGAAAATTATGTCAATAGGGAATCTCAATCCTTTTGGAAATTTGTTAGTGCAACAAATTGTCAGGAAATTGTTGATCTAGGTAATTGCTAAAAGTTTTTCCAATGTTTACCAAAATCAAACAAGTCAATGTGGATATTTATTTAATAACCCTTTTTTTGAATTAAATGATCGTAAAATAACATTTATCTTGCAATTACATCTATGAATGATTCTCTATCGTCTGGTCATGACGATATCTTCCTTGCTTTTATTAAGCATGTTATCAGTGATCCTACTACTTATCTTCTTGCGTTACTGTTTGACCATTCCCTAATATGTCTCCTGTGTATAAAATAAATGGTGGGTGTGTAATAGTGCACACGCGTAAGAAGTGAAACTTCTTTAGATTGTTTATTATTATAGTAATTAAAAAAAAATTTACTTAAACTATTGCATTAACCAATTACTAAACACCAGAAAATTCCACTTTATTTTTCCAGCGGACAAATGCGGAATATTGGTTTAGTTTTGTTAAAAATTTTTCGTTTGCACCATACAAAACTACTTTTTAATCTATACATCGAAAACACGATCAACATCATTAAAGATAGTACAATTGTAGGGATAGATATTCAGGGGCAAAATATGAGTATGCTTAGATTTTCAGATGATATAGCAGTATTGGTATCTAGTAAGGAGGACTAAGAGATAGCTTTAAGTAGAATGGAAGCGGTATTGACAAAACAGTATTGTATGAAAATAAAATAAAACAAAGATACTGGTGCAAGATGCAAGAGAAGAAAAAGTGGAGAAAGAGCGAATATAAAGATAGGAGACGAAAAATTAAAAGAAGTGGCTGATTTTTATTGAAGGCGACTCGCCCTGCGCTATCCTCTGCTTTATATTTCTACTACTCCTTCCGTCCTTACTTATCTGACTTCCTAGATACCTTAAAAAAAAACTTTTGCCTGTTTGATCCCCACCAGCCAGTAATGCTGGTGGGCGGGCAGTCTCTCCGGACTACGCCGGAAGGTAGGGCGGAAGGCCCTCTTCAGCCTCCTTCCAGGAATAGTGAGTGGTGGTTCGGATGAGAAAGATGAGACGGACGAAATGAAGACAGAAGACAGTGAAAGATTATCTGTGGAATATTATTGCCCCAGCATTTGCCTAAGTGATCCAAGGAAATCACAGAAAAACTTGGACCAAGGCAGACGGGCCTGGAATCGAACCTGCGTCCTCTCGAATGCTAAGCAATGGTCTAAACATCTAGGCCATGCCGCTCGGTCTCTTAGATACCTAAATCAGCCACTTCTTCTAATTTTCGTCTTCTGTCTTAATATCTATCCCTACAGTTGTACTATCTTTAATGATGTTGATCGCGTCTTCGATGTATACTCGTAAGTAGATTTAAAAGTAGCGGTGACAGTGTGCATCCCTGTCTCCCTTACTAATATTTACTTCTCTACGTTGTAGCCCCAGCACTATAACTGCCTGTTAGTCTATACAAACTAAGTATCATTCTTCTATCTCTATAAGTCATCCCTACATTTTTTTTAGTATATTTAACATCTTCTCTCATTTAACATTTAACATGTAACATAGCTTTTTATCTACAGTAAAATAAATTTAATCTTTTATTTTACGAAGAAAATAATAAGATAGAAGTATTAGGTAGATGAATGCCGCAATTGAAGATTTTTTTGATTCTGTATATATATTGTTGAATTTTACAGAAATTGAAATGCTTATTGCAACGACTCCGCGACGTGCATATGTAGATAAATAAAAAATAACATTATTCTGTTTTTTACGGACAAACAAAGTACGCACATGGGACAATTCAAACTATGGAACGGCATAACTTTAATTTGTATATTAGTTAAGTGTATATTTTTTAGAAGTATCTAGAATATATAACCTAAAAGACGCTCCGCTACTGATTATAATATATGTCGTGTTGCTATTACAAGCCCTATTACGTTAATGCGTTATATTTCGTTTCATAAATAGAATCGATAATAAACTATTACTGTGCTTTGTATGTATGCTTATACGTAAGAAGCGTACGAACGATCTATGAATATTAATAAAACTAAAAGACACTACAAGGTTCGGCCTATCCACATGTTCCAGTTACAACCCTTATCTAAACGTATACCTAAAGGAAATCGAAGTATCAGAATTTAATATTCAAATAACTGCCTCTTTTTACCGTCATTAACGCAAGGATGGGTTCCTTGGGCCCGTAATCTACTTAAATAACAGTAATATTTTATCTTATTGACACAAACATTTTGAAAAAAATTTTCACTTTTGTATTATTTCGCTTTCGCAAAACTCGTAACTATTACATATTAGCAATTATTTTTAAAATCGGTCTAACAGAAGAACAGAATTTTGATAAAGGAAGAAACTGGAAGTGACCTTCTGACTTTCTGTGGATAACATACGCTACACGTAACTTACACAGTTGCATTTTTTGTAAAATTTTCATCATCATCATCAACATAAGGTCGTCAGTCCTAAGACTGATTGGTACCTCCACTCTTTCCTATCTTGAGCTAATCTTCGTATTTCCCCAAAACTAGAACAACCCACAGCCGAAACTATTTGCGAACAGTAACCTAATCTAGGTCTACCTCTACCCCTCTTAACTTCCGTTTGTGCCTCTAATATGTCTCTGATCAGACCTGCATGCCTGAGAAGGTGACCTACCAACCTATCTCGCCTATTTCTTATTGACTTTTATAGCGTCCTCCGTTCTCCTATTCTTTCTACTACCTCTTCATTTCTAACCTTCTCGTGGTCGGCTTTATAATTGCTTGGTTGGAATTATATCATTAAACAAGTGTTTCTGCTTTCCTGAGAATGTTGAATTTTCTTTAAAGTCCGATGCTGGCAACATGCTCAAATACTGCTTGTCTGCATCTCTTTCTGTTACACATTAATTGCTGTAATGTTATTCCTTTTTCTTTGTTAGTGTCCGCTGCAGTTCCTACCTGACATTTTTTTTTTTTATGTTTTCGTGGAAGAGGGGAAATCTTCAGAAGACACCCAGCCGTCCGTACGACTGGGTAGTGTCGGATTCCCGAGGAAGAAGTCCTCGGACCTACCGACTAAAACCCCTCTACCTCAGGCCGTTTTAGGACCAACTAGGGTCCTCTTCAGCCGGTGTGATTTTGGTGGTGTTATGTGGTTATGGTTTGAGTTGTTGAGGTGTGTGTGTGTGTGTGTGTGTGTGTTTGAGTGTGATGATGGTTGTGTGTTTGTAGGATTTTAGGATTCTCCTACCTGACATCTCTTTCTATGTTTACGATATTCCCTACCTACAACGTCTGTCGAGAGTAAAAGTAACCGCTTTAGTCTAGTTACTACTTAATTACTGAAAGAATGAGTAATGCATTGTGGCTGCATACATTTCCCACATATTATTACAGTATAATATCATTTTTGTATATAAAATTGGTATTTTTTTTTCTTAAGATTGATATTGTAATATGTCACGAAAATGACGCTACCGCATTATTGCGTAGCGATGATATACAAAATGCATAGCGCATGTTTTGTAACGACTGCTCTATTATGACACCTAGGAAACCATAGCTTTAATAATACTTTAGATAATGTTGCTTTATTAGAACTGTTTTATGGTAACTAATAGTCACTATAAAAGAGGTCTCTTGTACAACATTTGGCCACTGGAATTGCATTTTCTTGGGCAGAAACTTTTTCAGAAATCGTGGTGTGGATCAGGGGCTCTAATCAGTTTTTCAACTGAAATAGATTAATAATTAGCCAGTTATTAAATAAATAACTATCCTACCCTACGTAAATTACGTAACACCAATTAGGGGAGGGAATTCAGCCGGCCATCATGGTCCTGTTACGTGGAGAGAGGGAGGGGGTCAAGGTTTATGCAATGTAACGATTTTGGAAACAGATAGATAAAATAATA